CCCCAAAACCCCAAAACCCCAAAACCCCGAGCGAGTGAAAATTTGTTGAAAGTTTATAATATTAGCCCTCAAGATAATCCAAAAGATATTATAACTTTCAGAAGCTTGTTAATACCTTTTAATGAATCCATTGATAAAGCCGAAGAGATTTAGGTCCCTTTTTAAGAACTTTGATCATGAACTTCCACGAATCTTGGAACCTATTGATAACGTAGAGATTTCAGAAGAGCAGATTATTGGACACAGGATTTGTAAAAACCCATTTGTGAGCTGTGCGAAGATCTCCGATCTGACTGTAGAGTTTAGTCCTAAAGCTCCCAAATTAGACCAGAACTGGCCTGAATTAAGAATGTATCCAGTAGAAATCCAAGCGAAGCCACCCTTCATTGGAGAACATGGGATTTAGCTACTTTGAAGTTAAAATTTCTGAGGTAAATCAGGCACAAAATCTGAGAAATTTATTGTTTCTTTAATCCTAACTCAATATAGCTGGTTGAGACAGAAAATGAATTTCCCAAATTTGTAGTCGGAGTGAAGCATCTTTGCAGTTGGAACTGTGGTAAGATTCCTAAGTTCTCATATTTCAGAGATATCTATGGACACGAGTATAAACTTTCAAATTTCAGGAGAGCAGTATTACAAGACAATCCGGATCTGCATCTGCGAAGCAGATGGCACATCTGGTAAGCTTTCTTACTCATTGCCTAGACTGTAATTATCAAGGACCTCGTATCGAGTTTAATGATACTATTGGACTCTGAATCAACTTCTTGGTCGGAGAAGTATTCTTCACACATAATGGTATAATTAGTGAGAGCAGGTTCCTCAATCTAGATAATCTGAAGGCCTGGACAGTAGACGACTTTGGTAGCGTGAAGCTGTTTCCATTCGTGAAGTTTCGCAAACTTAACCAAAAAGTTCAGGTGAGAGTTTGATTTGCTAATGCTTAGTTTGTGTTTGATAAGAAAAACTTTGTTTTTAATATTGATGAATATATCAGTAAGTCAATTGGAATGTTATAAAGGAAGTTGATGGAAAGACCTAATTTTGCTTTTAGAAAAGACTCTTGGAGATGTTTACAAGGAAATAGTAAACCAAGCAAGTCTGCCTAATTGATTAACTACTATTGCTAAACATGACAATGGAAATTGATTTGATATGCTGTCTCAGACCTTAATACTTGAGTATGTACAAATCTCTAACTTTTAGGTACCTGAGAGATGAAGGATATACTAAAACTTTGAACGAGCTTTCAGAATCCCTAGGAACCCCTCTGACTGACCACCCAGCAACCAAAACTCCCCTCCAAAGTATCGAAAACCTTCCTTCCTTTACCTCCTCTCCCACTGAACCACCTCTCAACTATCTCTCATCTCTTACTAAAATTTAAGGACTATCTCAGTAAGTTTAAGCCCAAAATAAGCTCTTATAGGTAAATACCAGTTTGATAAGATTAAGACTTATTTTAGCCAGATTGATCCCCAAGAGAGCCAGAAAGGATATTTGAATAAGAAGGTAGGATTTAGAGGTTATTTTTAGGTGTTTTTATTGGATTTGTGGTATTTTTCAAGGGTAGTTATAAGCGAAAAAGGGCAAAATCTATTTGGGAGTGAAGATAGGTTGGCTTGGACGCAGGGAGATGGTTCAGAAATGAATTTTGAAGGTTTGGAGTATAATTAAGGCTGCAGAGGGAGATGTTTGAGTGGAAAGAGATATTGAAGAAGCTGTAAGATTTTTGAAAGATGTTGTTACTCCAAGCTTAAAAATTTGTTATCCTCAACTAGACGAAATAACTTTATACAGTAAAAAGAAGTTTAAATAAATTCTTCAAAATTCTCATAATGGATCCCAAGAAAATCAAAAAGTAAGTCTTTCTTCTTCATAATCTAGGAAATACTTCAGCGGTAAGTTAGTTCTCTCACTCAATAGTCAAATCTCTCGAAAGCATAGAGAGGATGTGTATAAACTGGCTCAAACAGCTCTGCTTTGGCAAGGATTATGAAACCGATAAGATCAGTAATATTCTCAAGAGACTCTATAAGAGTTGAACCAAAAACAAGAACCCTAAGCTAGAGTTCCTACTACGAAACCCAAAGTTATGCAAGGGAATTTTACAAATCATACTCTAATTTTCAATATTTGGTAGATTTGATGGGGTTTTGGGGTTTTGGGGTTTTGGGG